CTACAAAGTTTTCCTTCGCATCGACCCATAATCAAAAGACTGTCCAAGGATGGTCTTCGAAGAAGCGATTTCGCAGAGCGACTCGATATTCCTTCTTTTATTCTTCGAAACATCTTCGCTGTTCTCAGTGCTTAAATACACATCTCTGGGTTTGCAAGAAGAAGGTCGAGAACTGTGTACACTCAGAAAGCAATCATCCGAAGGAGGGCCACTCACAGCGATGGAGCCAGCGTGATTCACATCGTTTTGATCTCAGGATATGCCGTCAATCCTTACCAATAGATCTCGGAAAGCAATTCTTTTCTGGAGAGTTATCGTCTTTACATATCTATGCCCGTTTTTATTGGTGGCAATCCAAATGAAATCGACTGATAAAATGCAAAAAGTTTCTGCACGAGCTCGAGGTGCGCCGCATCTCTCCTACGGATTGGGTTAATGAGAAAATTTTCGAAGTAAACTTCTTTGCGACCACCAAAGTCAGAGGCAGTTGTTGCCAAAAAGTGAGAGCAAGTCTCCGAGATAACGTCTAGTTTACAACAGACTTTCTCCCGAAGGTGTGGTAGTTTGTGACGGGGTAACATCCAAAAGTGCAGCTCCATTGGAGTTCATCTTCCAGAAAATGTAACTTGAAGGTCTTGCAATAAGACTATGTTGAGGTACGGATTTCGTTCTGGATTGACGTGCATTCTGCTCAACTGCTCCCTAATAAAGTCGAGCTCCTCTATACGCTTTCAAACCGATCAGTCGTTTCGAACGCGTACTTTCCCGACCACTGGAGCAAGGATCTGTGACCTTTCTCCCCCAGGCCCCTAATCCGATGGACTTCTCTATGCGGGGATGTTACAGAGCAAGAGCTCATAAGGCCTCTATAGCTCGGTGGAATGCTCTGAATAAAAAGACGGAAGACGTGGAACGACATCGCCGATGGCTACCTGCGGCGCACTGCTGATTCTGTCGTTGGACGTCAATGCCTCTATTAAAGCAAAATCGTCAACCGTAGATCACCTTTTGACACAGCCCAACTGTGTGTTTCTGTGAAGTTGGTTTGTTAATCGAGTCCCTTTCTTGACTTTACACTAAAAAGACATGGTGTCCTATACTTCTCAGACACTGTATATACAAAGGTGCACACGAAAGCTACGGCAATGAATTCTATTGACCACACCTTAAAATTTGAATTAATCAACTTTTCAATCAGCTTTCAGTCGGTGCCTTCATCTGAATCACGATGCTCCACGAGACCCTCTTGAAAGAGCATCTATAGTGAAAGCCATAATATCGCACTTGGTCCAAAAAACTTCCGCACAGAAGAAATAAGTGAACCTCAGAACTACCTAAACTTTCGCTCATCTACCGCAATTTTTCTGGGTTTACGCCGCCTTGAAGCAGAGCTCAGAGTTTTTGGATAAAGCATGCTTGGCTACCGCAGGTAGATATAATTCATCGCATACATCAACCCACTACCTTGACATATTTTCATCCGGCTTAGGCCGATGTCAGACTTTGCGAATCGCGCGATTCGCTACTAGCGATTCGCGCGATTCGCTAGCGTCCGCGGTCGCGTTGCGGTACCAGCCAATTGAGTGATTCACTGGCGACGCGACCGCAGATTCGCTAGCTAAGCGAAATCAGCTTTCATTCATACAGGTCGAGTCTGCAACAGGTTTCATTTTGACATGGCCCATTTTACTTCCACTTTGGGCAGACACAGGCTACTTACTGCGTATCGTTACATTCCTGCCTCAAGCATTTACCCATCCGAGTGACTGATCAACCAATGCTGAATCTTGCCGTAAAACATATATTCATGCCTTTTACACATTGCCGGAATGGAAACATCGCGACCAGGCAATCCTCCCATACGAAGGGGCTATCGCCTGACGGTACATAAGTTTTGTGCCTTCTTGTTTTCAAATTAATTACTTCCTTCTCAATTTTCGAGATAGTTCATCCTCCCAATAGTAGCGCTCCCGCAGGCTGCGTCTAGGCCAACATGAATTTATTTCGCAGACATCTACAGAACAGGTGGCATTCGACAATCAGTTCTTGCGCGACAATTTAAGAACACAGGGGCTTACCGTATTCGGTTGTCCACATCTAAAAACGTGACACTGATGAATCTGCTCGCCATTTGTTCCTTGATGCGTGAAAGAGATGCAGAAACAATGGTCCTGAGCTGAATCCAAACGGCCTCGCACACAAAATCGAATTTTCTGCACTGGGAATGAAGCCAATTCTCCGCCAGCACTGTCATGTAGCCTGAACGAATCAGTCAATAGCTTTTTCAATTACTAACAGGCTAATGGCATGTATTATATCATCAAGAACGCTGAAATATTTGCAAAGTATCCAACCCCAGCAGGTCATACGTGTCGCTTTACTCAGCCTCCTCATTTATTTCTCTCCCCAAAAAGAGGTTAGTAGAAGCATGGCTCACATTATGAACTGTGACACTCGTTCTGATATTAGCACCACTTCCTGGACAATCGCGCCGGATCAGCACAAAACACTCAACGAAACATGACGTGCATCTGATATCCCATTCAAATTCACTAACTTCGTCTTAATCGAATTCTTCAAAGATCTTCAACCAGACTATCTTCATCAAGATAATATCACTAACAAAAGGCCAAGCGGTGGATAACAATCGTTCTACTAACTATGTCTTTTTTATGTAATACCCACGGTAGGGTTCATGCTACTATGGAATGACAAGATGCGTGAGGCTTTGTCGAGAACATACGAAGGGTTACTGAAGAAAAAACTCACATTGAAAGGCCGCTGTAGGGGACTTGGATATGTGCCAACTCGCCAGTTTCACATTTTCGTGGGATTCACTTCTTGCTAAGGCCGATGTCAGACTTTGCGAATCGCGCGATTCGCTAGCGTCTGCGGTCGCGTCGCGGCCAGTGAATCACTCAATTGGCTGGTACCGCAACGCGACCGCGGACGCTAGCGAATCGCGCGATTCGCAAAGTCTGACATCGGCCTAACCGCGCAGATCGCACGATTGGCTGCGCGGTCCTTGGAGTGCGACTCACTAGGACAGAAAGCGACTTTTTCGCGTTTCGCAGCGCGAAACATTCTCCGCTGTGGGAATCTC